TTCTTGGAAAAAGGCATTATAAGCAGTGTCACCATCACTAGTTATAACTGACCTTTTTTCATTAGTGTTGGCAATAGCTGTTCCATCTGGTTGAATTCCATGTTCAAGGCAAAATAACTCCCAACATTTATTTCCAAGTTGACATCCAGCTTGACCAATGTGTATTGTTATTACTTCCCTCATATTTTGAAAATTTCAAGTTCAAGTTGTTTGAAGTTCTAGTTGAAAAATCTTTAGTTGACTTTTCTTTTCACCTTTAGCACTTCTCTTTCCTTTACTTCTTTGAGTTATGTTTATGTCCTCTCTTTTCCAATAAGTTTCCCCAAGATTTTTATTAATTTAATGTTTTAGTTTTTGAGTATTTTTTAACCTATCTCAAAACTTAATTTAGGGATTTGTTAAGATATTGTTTTGAATCACATTTTAATAAGTTAGCAACTAAAGTATTTTTGCAGCTGTACAAAAAAGAGTTTTATCATGAGAAATTCTTATGGAATAAAATTTAGAACTTGCAATTATAAAAACAAGGAAATTTCCCATCTGGGAATATCATTTTAATTTATGGGAGATACACCATCTAAACCTGAAGATACACCATCTTCATTTGAACAACAACCAGACTATTCTAAATACACTGCACAACAAGTATTTGATGATTGGGAGGAAATTGAAATGAAAGCACCAGCATTTATTCGTCGTTTTGTAAAGTCAATTGATAATAAAACTCGACTAAGATACTGGCTAACAATGGCTAATCCTGAACAATATACAATAAAAAATCCAGACTTATTTCAAAGTTTATGTGCACAAGCTGAAGTAAGAATGATAAATGATGAAGAATTTAAAAAAATTGGTCAAAAAATTGATTTAGATGTAAATAGAACATTTCCAAATGATCCACAAATGACTGAAGATAAACGACTTGATTTAAGAGATATCTTACGGTCTTTTGCTATTTTATTACCAAAAACAGGATATTGTCAAGGAATGTCATTTTTGGCAGGACAAATTTTATTGGTTACCCAAAATCCCGAAGATACATTATGGATTTTTACTTATTTTATGAAAGACCTAAATTTATATGGACTATTTTGTGATGGATTACCTTTATTAAAATTCGCAGTATTTTGTATTGAGTGGGTTATCAAACATCGTGTTCCTTCATTAACTAAATATTTCCAAGAAAAAGATACACCATTACTTCTTGTTGTTGGTCAATGGTTAACAGCATTATTTAGTATTAATTTTGATAAATGTGTAACATTAAAAATATGGGATATGTTTTTATTGGAAGGATTTGTCTGGTTAGTAAAGGTAAGTTCTGCTCTATTATTGATACATGGTGATCTTTTTAATGGGCTTATTGATGAAGTGGTAGTTCAATTAAGACAAGCAACATTAAAAGATGAGTGGAGAAATGTTTCTATGACAGCAGATGGGATTGTTTTTGGAGAAAAAGAGTTAAAAGAGTGTAAATTGGCATATGACCAATCACAACAATAATTAATGGTAATGAAAAAAGGTAATAAAAATGGAATTTATCAACAATCTGTTAATTCATTTTTTTTTATCGATAAATATTTTTAGAATTTATAAAAAGAAATATTAAAATTTTTGACAAAAAAAATAAAAAATAAATAAAATAATGAAAAATTTAAATTTAGTTTTTTATTAAAAAGAAAACTAAAAAAAAATTATTGAATAAAAGAATTAATGATTCCTTCAAGACAACAAATTTTAAAGTATATTAATCTAACCATAATTATAATTGGAATATTTTTATTATTTCATGGAATTACAAATGCGTTATTTTCTAGGCATCCAGAAAATGAATTATCAAGTAAATCCGTAACACATATTTCATTAATAACAGGAATAATTGTTATTAGTTATTCAATATATTGTTTTAAACAATATATAAATTATAACAAAAAAGAAATGTATTTATTAATAATTTCTGTTGGTTGTTTAATTATTATGTATTGTATTTTATCAATATTTACTAATTCAATAACAACTTATTCAATTAATTCAATAATAAAAAAAGAACAACTTATTGGTGTTGAAAATGAAGTTTGTGTTATTTTATTTCTTTTTTAAGAAAATTAATTATTTCATAGTTTAATTGTTGTGGATGGAAAGAACCAAGAAATTATTGTTCTTCGAAGATATTACCAACATGTTATCATGTATTAATTACACCACATAATACTTATAAAACTATTACTTCTTTAATTACCTTATTAGAAATTATTCATATAGTAATATTATTAATTGGAACTTGTATTTCTTATAAACCAACAAAAAGAAAAGAAGATTTTTATTCAATGTACACAAATATTGGTGAAAAATGATTAATTCTAAAACTTTTAATTTTATTTAAACCTTTTTAACTGAATGATCTAAAAATCATTCTTAATTAAATATCATTTACTTGATGAACTTTTAATTTTTAATGTATTTAAACCTAATTGATACCACCAAACATTAAAGTGTTGTGATTCAACAAATTTTTTCATAAATAATGCACCAACAGTATTAAATTTTTGAGGAAATTGTTTAATAAAATTGTCCAATGAACATTCTTTCATTTCTGTGCAAAAATTAACAACACTATTTTCTAATCTTCTATATAAGCACTCATTCATAATTTTCATTACTTCACTTGAAAATTCAATAACTCTTTCTGATGGCATCATTTCAATAAATTTTTCTCTATCATACATTGTTGGTCGTTTGGGAACATATTTATTTATACAATCAGTAAGTTTTTTTAATAACTCACTTCTCCAAGGAAGTGTAAAACCATTTGGTTGTAATGATATAAAAGAACGACTTATTTTTGACATAAAAAATGAAAAATATGATTGATCAAGTTCTTGAACATATGCATTTACTCTGCATTGATAAGGTGGATATTTTCCAGAACATAAAATAGGTACTGGTGTTTCATAAAACTCAAATAATTCATCAGGAATATATGGAATAAAAATACCTGGCCATGAAAATGGATAAAATAATGCTAAAAATCCAAAAATACATGACGTTGCAGTGGATATATTTTCTGATATAAGAATAACACCCATCCCACATAACATTACACTTAATATATTTAATATTTCCTCTACAGACATTGTACAAAATAGTCGTATTAATGAGTAATCCCCAACCATTGACATAGATTGAGATAATGGAGTTGATGGTAAAGGAGGTGATGATTTAGCAAAAGTATATTTATTATTTTCTATTGTAAAAGATAATGGATTTGATTGTTTTTGTGGAATACGAAAGATCAAATGAACAAATGCTTCAAGTGATGGTTTAATTGGATTTAAACAAACATTAGGAGAAAGTAATGTTACACGCAGAACAACACTATAAAAATATTCTAATTTATTTCGATAACTATGTTCTGCAATATAATGCAATAAAGGAAATAAAGCCAAAAAATATGGATATGTAGTTGTGAAGCAATACGTTCTTTGTGTATAATATTTGACATTAAATAACTGTGTTGTAAGTCCTGTTGGATTTATTAAGTCTGAAGTAATATTTAAAAATTCATTTTGTTGTATGCATACACATAACACACTTTCTATTTCACCAGGAAGAATAGTAATATATCGAATTGGTTGTTCTTTAAAAACATCATTATTTGTTAGTGGAATAATTGTAGGATTTCTTGGGACAATAAACTGTTCAGCCTTAAGAGGAAATTTATAAGACTCTGGATATTTATATAACTCTTGAATTTGAGGAGTTGGTGTATTTGGTGATGTACTCGGAGAAACTCCAAATATTGCGAATGAGTTGATAAGATTTGGCGTTTCTTGTGTTAATGCTTTAATTAGTGGTGATGTGATATGATCTTCGCTCATTTCAATTTTTTTAAGTTCATTTGTTTCTCTTTCCAGATTACTTTTTTTTTCTTCATTCAAATAAATTGTGTTATATATTAAATAAAAATTAACTATTTGTTTTATATTACAAAAAGTCAAATTATTTTGTTTTAGCTTGTTTCAAATATAAAGTAATATTCCAAGGTTCACCATCAACAGAAGGATTAATATATTTATTTGGATTTATAGGAACATTTTCTTCTTCCATTTTTTCTAATTGAGTAAGTGCTTGTTGTTTTTTAGTTTCAAGAAGAGAGTGATGGTTTTCAGTATAACTCATATAAAAATGAGAAAAAAGATAATATTTTTAATAAGAATTTAATAATAAAAAAATAATAAAATAGATAAAAAGTAAATTGAAGCCATTTATTTTTCTCAATCAAAAAGTTGTTTGACACACTGTACAAATTGTCTTAAAGATTCTTCAAAACGTTCTTGAGTGACATCATTATAAATTGGATCAATTGAATTTTTTAGAGTAGAAGAATAATTCAAGAAAGATTGTTGTTTTATAGGTGATTTAATTTTTTTCGTTAACGCAAGCATTAAAGTATCAAAAGAGTTAGGTCTTAACAAGAAGATTAATTGAATAGGTCTAGATAATGCCCAAATATCAAAATCATTTAAAATATTATCGAAAGAAATCCAAAGAATTGGTTCAAAACTATTTGAACAAAATTGAACAAGTTTATCTATTCCAAAATTTCTTCTTTTAATAGAAGAATAAATAGAGTCTAATAATCCATTAAGAAAATGAGAACAATTTAAAATTATATCTCCATTTTTCATTTTCATTCCATTAATAACTAATTGAAGAATATTAAGTAATTCTTTTTCAGTAAATATTAATACATTTGAATTACAAATTAAAGATAAACTATCTATAAATGAATAAACACCTTTAACTATTTTTGGATACTCTTCTAATGCATTAAATGGTATTCTTAAAGCAGTGTCAAGAACAACATTTAATGTTTCTACAACACTATTATCTTGATATATTTGAAATATTGCAAAGTTAACCAAATTACATTTAAAACATTCTGACATAGCTCTTAAACAAAGACAAATTGGTTTAAAACATTCTAAATAAGGATTTTGATATGTTTTATTTGAATTTTGAATAAATGAAGCACATAAAGATGCAGTAGCCATTGTTATTCCTTTAAATATTCTCATACAATTAGGCGATTCTATTGGGAAATTTTCTTGAAAATTTTTACTTGAAGCAATATCACCAAGTAAACGTAATAATGGAATAAGAAGAATTGGTGTTCTTTGTAA